CGAGCCGGCCGGTCTCATTTTTACACAGATATATGTTTGCGGGAATCACCCAATACGAATACTTATTTGTACGTACTTGTACTCCTTGTACCGTTGGGGCTATAATACGATATTGCAAAGTGACCCCTGATGTAAAACGACGAAGCTCTTGCTTGTGTGAGTAGTACGTACAAGTACTCGTACTCGACAAGTATTCGTTCTCATTTCTCTGTATCGATTTTTTGTCGAGGAATACTCGCACARAGTACGAAAACCCTACCGGCTTGGTACGCATTACGTACTTCTATTTACGAGTAATGTAACGGACGTGTACAAGGAACAGTACGAATGGTACGACGATTGTCAACAATACCGTGTAGAAAGAAAAGGTATGAAACCACATGCGAAAATTTATGTAAAAAAAGGAAAAAGAGTTTGTACGGCAGTATTCTACCGCCCGGCTCAATTTAGTTCTCAACTACGTCCATAATTCGCGTTACGACTCCATCTTATGCACTCTAACTCGGTGCTCCCATCGTATCAGGCATTATCGCCGTCAACCAGAAGGGTGACCCTTCTCAGTAGGAATATATGACCTTACACAATGTCGGAAGGTACCGATTGCACTGAGAATCCCACAGGATTGGGCGCCGATAATTTTCTCTCGAGGATCACATTTAGGAAAGCTTCACCAACAGATATTCTGAGATGCGTCGAGATGGTGAAAAAAGAATCTAGGTCGAAAGGTTTAATGTTTGTTTCCAAGAATGAACTTGAATACCGTCAGCATTATGCTGCAAACTACTACCGATGTGCGGTTTACGAAGACGAGGATGGCAATAATGACGAGGATACGATAGTAGGCTTCATCACTGGTATTCGAGTTGGGGCGATAGAAGAGGCCGACAAAGTAGTGGGACATGCACTCACCCACGTTGTCCCCCACGATCCAAACGGCGAGGTATTGATTATTCGATCCGTGATTGTCGGAGAGGAGTATCGGAAACAAGGAGTGGGCAAGGCGATGATACAAGATTATATCGGTGCAGTGCGGGAACTCCCGAAACAATCGTCTTCAAAGCCCAAATCATCGAAGAAAAAGCCAATTCAAAAAATTGTTGGACTTTGTTGGGATCATGTATTGCTGCCCTTTTATCTTGCCTGCGGATTTTCACTCCAACAGGCTCATAAGGTTACTGGAGCATGCACAGAAACTGAGAAGAGCGATGAATTACGACGGGCGTATTTCTTCGAATCATCGCTCGCTGCTACCTTTGACTACGGAATTTTTGGAGATGGCAATAATGACGATGGGTGTAACTATTACATCGTTGATAGTTTCGCCTCCGTCCCAGGAACTGGTAATCCTGCTTCTGTTGTTTTACTGAGAGAAGAATTTGACCCCATGGTGAAACACAAGTGGATGCAAAAAGTTGCAGCTGAATTCAACCTTGCAGAAACTGCCTTTTGTTGGCCGAAGGGTAGTAATACAGGCAACGATCATGCAGATGCTATAGCATTTTTTAAGAACGAAAGTCACTGGAATATTCGGTATTTCACTCCAACTACCGAAATGGGTCTTTGCGGACATGCTACTTTAGCTTCGGCTGCTGTTCTGTACCAAACTTTGCCCTCAGAAGTCCTCCCTTCGGGCACGGCAGTTGTATTCCATGCAAGCGAAGATATCTTGACGATGAATTTAGAAAACAATGGTGAAAAAGAAGGAATTTCTGCAGTTTCTTCGTCACAACGGGTCTCAAAAGTGTCCATGAATTTCCCCCCAAAACCAACGAAGGATATTTCTACACGAGAAGAAAAGGCTACGGTGCGAAATATGCTGAAAAGTGCATTTTCGATAGATTTAGAGCCATTGTATGTTGGTCTCTCAGACATCGGGGACTTATTGGTCGAGTTGTCACCGAAGACATTTAGTGAGATTGGCTATGACTCCTTGAACTTCAAGGCGTTTTTCGAATGGGATGGATATTATCGAGGTATCGTTATTTGTTGTGCAGCCCCAGAATCTGCCGTCAAGGATAAGACCGACAAAAGCATAGAAATAGACTTTTTGTCTCGATTCTTCGCTCCCAAAGCTGGCATCGATGAAGACCCAGTCACTGGAAGTGCGCATTGCAGTCTTGGACCGTACTTCGCAAAAAAACTTGGGAAAAAGAGAGTTGTTGGGCGACAAATGTCTGTGAGAAGTGGTGTTGTGGAATGTCTAGTTGCTCCCGATAGAGTGACGTTGACTGGCACGGCAATCACAACCATGCGAGGACAACTATTCATGTGAAGATGCTAAAGATGACGCTAACAAATATGGACCATAAAACAAAGCTAAATTTTACAACCCCAAATCATAAACAAAGACAAGTTTAGATGTCGTGAGGAACCAGTAGATATGCTGACCTTATATACAGATACGATTGTATAGCAACTACCATGATTCTTAATGAAACATGATTCTATGATTGAACTCTATTTCTTTTTTTTCTTCTTTTTGTTGTTCTTTTTTTTCTTTTTTCCGTTGGTTTCTCCCAGCTCAGACTGATGAGTATTATCCGATGGCGATTTGGACTCGGTGCTATCGTATTCAGAGACATCTCCTAGACCCAGTTGTTTCGCGTATGCACTGCCCAGTCCGATGTTCACCGTTTTGCCCTCATTCTTGATCGGAGTTTGTTGAGTCGTTGTCGTCCTTGAAGAACAAGCACTAAAGTGTTAGTATCGTGATCCTTGGCATCAAATTCAAATATCCACAAGCGATTCACTTACTGTATCAATTGATCAATATGCGCTTTCCATCCGTCGTGGGAATTCAAATACTGCGGGAGAAATGTATTAGGCGGAAGCGACTTTGCTCGTAACCTTAGTAAGTTAAGGCAGTCCAGAACCACGCTACTACATGTTTCTTGATGGTTTGAAACTGATTTGATTGCTTTAGTCAAAAACTTGGATTTTTGCAAAATTACACGCAGCGTAGGTTCGTGATGCTTCAAAACGACAGAACGCAACATTTCGAAAAATGTGATGCCATAGAAATCATTGTTGGGATATGCCCAAATATAGGAGCAAAGGGCAGGCCAAGGATTAAAAATAGCGGGGATAGTGCAGTCTTCGTTATCATTTTCATCTTCCTTCTTTTTGGACTTGTTTAATTCTGCCGGCAGGGGTAGCACCATGAGACTTTCGATGGCGTCTCCAATTGTCTCAGACTTTTTGCTAGTGAGGCCACTATAAACTACAATTTCTTTCAACAGTGATAGAAGCTGTAGTCTCCAAGATCCCAATGGGACTGTGCAGTATCTACCTGGATGTCGAATTATTGGCAAATCCAAGTTTGTTTCATTGGTCCCTGAAGTAGAGAAAGTCGCTTTGTAGTTCAGAATATCATGACTGGGAAGATCCAGTGTTTTGATCAACAGGGGCAATTGCGCGACGAGTGAAGCATAAATCTTGTCGGTCAATCCCCAATCGATAAGTTTGTTGGTTATCTTTACTTCCTTTTCGTCAACAACCTCTCCAGCAGCCTGTTCTGTAGCATCGGTTGCTGGAGCATGAGACTTGCATATTCTTGACGAGTTGCCAGTCGCTAGGGAGAAAGACTGCATGCAGGTACGCGATATTGCCAGCCGCTGTTGGGATGTGCATGTGTCAGTGCATAAAGTGTTCAAAAGTGCAGCCCACCATTCCGTGGTCGCCAGGGGCGAGAGCAAAACTTCTTCTCCAACTGAAACTTCTTCTTTTTTGTTCGTTGCTTGTTGCATTCGTTGTTGTGGAATATCTTCCGGAGGATATCCAATAAGCTCAATCATTGTAAGAATTGCCTCACATGCTTCTTCGCCGAGGTCTGCCTCTGTCGAAGACGTCGTTATTGTCTTTGCGAGACGATCCATCAATTGAAAATCCATGCATGCCCTAACAAACTTTTTCCTTTGACCAATACCGATCTTAAACTTATTTCTTAGGTTTTGGTGATACAAGTTTGCAGTGTGCTGTGCTGACTTTTCGGCTGAAGCGATACCCTTTCGACCTGTGCAGCCATAACAAACTAAATGGGTCAAGACAGTCAAAGTTTGATCTGTGGACAACAGGGGACCGAGATGTTCTTGAATGCCCTGCTTACCTCCCGCTGAGGCTGCCGCCATTACTTTTTCGGGGTATACCTCAAGGAGAGCATCCAACAGCTCCCGAATATGAAGTGTACTGTATCGCTTTCTATTTGAAACTGACAGTCCCGCGAAAAGATCCTTAGCTAAAAGTCCGGCTTGGTCAGGGTTCTTGATCAAAACCGAAGGGATGTTTGGGATCGAAAGGTCTTGTTTTAACATTGTCATAGCCCTATAAGATCTTGCTGCTTGGCTTTCGTCCTCCTCATCTGCGCCACTGTCTTTCTCCTCTCCTCCGGAAACCTCGGATTGATTCCGAGGAACAACGATGTTCACAAAATATTTGAATGCTTCATCTTCATCACCTGGAATTTCCGATATCTTTTTTTTGCGTTCAAATTGTTGCATGTTGTAGATTGAATTCATTCAGAAAGAAACGATCGAATTAATAAATATTGTAAAGAAATGAACGAGTAAACACAGGTTTATCATCCGTAATTTCTCAATGAGCGGTAAACGTGCCGTTGTACTCGTGCACACCTGTTCCAGAATACATACCAACCGGCGAGCTTCGACTGTACCGATTCCTTTGTCAGCCTCTGGCGAATCCAAAAAGTCGTCCAAAGCGGATAGTGTGGCCATATTAAATTGAGGTCGATAAACAAGTGATCTGTGAGTTAAGAAATGACGATTGATATATATCGATGGGTACGGTGCCGTTTTACAACACGGAGAGGTGTATCGAGCGATGGTGTCAATTTTGAGCTGTACCGGTAGGAAAATGGAAAACGACAACTTTCAGTATGGTAGGGTACAGTATCTGGTAACTCGTAGTCGAATGTAAATATGGATGTTCGGTACCGGTACCTGTATGTATCTGCGTATCTGCGGTATCCGTAATCTTACCATACCTGTACGTATGGTTCCGGCCGGTACTAAACTCATTTGACTCGTATTGGCGGTACTTGTACGTAGTGCTCGTCAGGGGTCGGGTCAGACCCCTGGTGCTCGTAGTCGTAGTCTTATGGTTGGATAATCGTACTCGTCTTACATATAGTACGTACTGCTATTCAGGGGTGCTGCTATGTACCGTAGGTACGTACTACTGTATCAGTAAACACCATACCAAACTGGAGGGAACCTACTACCGTACAGTAATAGCAATCGGTACCGGTAGGTTACAAAAAATACTGTACAGTATTGTGATAAGTACCGTACAGTACGTATATACGTAGGTAGTAGAAGTAAACTTCGTATTACCCGTAGTCGTACGTTACTCGTACGATTCGTACTGTGTTTATTACATTACTGTACTGCAATACTAACTCTAATCTATTACTATCATGTACAGTATTACTGTACGGTATGGTACTTGTACGAACTACTGAACGAACTACGAACAGAACTCGTTCGCAGCGTTTTGATAGCACTCGATAGACAGTCGATCTAGTCGAGTATTTCTTCTTTGAGAGAAAAATTCAAAATTTCAGGATATATTTCAAAAATTCTCGCGGCCATGATGGTTCTCAAAATGATTCTGGTACACACTACGTACTCGTACTTGTGACACGAGACTCCTTCCTCACAACTATCGTACTTCACTTCAATACCGACCATCCATAGCCTTTGTGACACCATACTGTAGAAATATACTTTCACCACTTCCAGTCTAATACACCATCTACTGTCAACGACAATGGGGTTCTCGGTGTACGTGTTGTACGACTTGGAATCATCGAAATCCTCATTCTCGTCTTCTGGTCAAACTCATCCGTCGTCATCTCGGCACATTTTTCGTCGTCCCGCCACAAAATATGCCTTACATTCTCACTTTCTACATCGTTTGCTGCTTTTTTAATTGTTTGCAGGCTGCTAACCCCAGAAAACAGGGACACAGGCCGGAAGCTGGGTATAGCAACCGCTCTGATGTTTACGCTTCCATTCATTGCCTTCTATATTATGATGGAAATTTGCAAAGAAAAGAAGAACCCAGAAAACTGGGCGGGGGCTGCGGCAATTGTCACCACAAACCTTATAGTTGCTGGGTACTGTTATATCGCATACATAGAAGACATCGATGACAACGATGAAGACGGGCCAAGGCAGGGAGCTGCAAAGCAAAGAGTCGACTAGCTCTGAATCGTGCTGTTTCTCTTCCTGCTCTTTCTAGAACAACCTTCAAGAGGAAAACATTTGTTCCACCATAAACGATACCGGCAGTAACACGCATGATGTAAACCCCAAACACTGATAAGTTTTCATTTGACTGTCGTGTAGTAGTGAGGACCAACAACATCGATAAAATGATCGAAAATATTCCACGAATATAACAGATAAAGATAGCAGATGAATTCGTATCCTCAATTATTGTGAAAACATAAATGTGAAATGAAGGATCGGTAGCGTTTAATTGTGAGATAAAAATTGGGTGATTGTTAAATTCAGAACCCGGAATCTACCCAGAAGATGCTTCGGTTGGTTCTTAACTAGCCCTCGGATATTGGATTGAATTGTAGTGTCTCAAACATAGCATCCGATCACTCTATTTCATGTTGACTTTCGTGACTTTATCTTTTTCCGACATCTCCGGTTCTTACTCTGCCCTTTCTGCTCTGTTTGGATCCTCTCGACTGATTTCTTCTATTAGTTGATCGATAATTTCTCGTGCCACTGTATTTTAAGTTGGAAATCCTGTCTTAGTTTGGAGAACTATTTTTGACATGGCGCTTGTCATTCCCATTTTTTATGGAATTAGAACTTATTCTCTGACTATTTCCTCTACTTTGCTGTCGATGTAAAGAGCGTCTGCGTGAAACATCTTTTCCATCATAAAGTCTGCGAGTGCTCGTTTTGGATGACCGCTGTCTGCCATTCCTGTGACCACTCGATTGAGTAATATCTACCATCGGGGTCTTGTTCGAAACAAAATGTGTTTCATCGGAATGCGTTGTTTCTAGATTATCGATTGAAATTTCCCCTGTGGCCCCCTTCTTAATTATATCCTTGTGAAACTCAACGTCTGATGTCTCATGGACTTTTCCACTTTTTCTTCTATGCGTTCGGCTCTTGTGCTTGGCGAGCGACCCATTTTGATTCTCTTTCCTATCAAGTTTTGCAGACTTGAGGACTACTTGATTCGTGGCATTCTTTGGTGTTTCTAGCCTAGATCGCCGCTCGTTTGCGTTTGGCATTGCAGAGCGCGGTTTCGTCTGTTTGCGAATCTTATTTGAAACCCTACTAGAACCTGAAGAGGATGCAGTCTTGCGATTGTTACTATTATGGCTTCCCATCGATTTCTGGTACGTACTTTGAGTATTTGTTGTCAGAGAACATGAAGTGTCGGTTGCCGCCTTTTTTTCTTTTTTGAAGTCGTCGAAAAGATCCCTAATCGACTTTACTTTAGTGTGCGTTGAACTTGTCAGCAAGCTTGGATCTAAAGAATCCTCACTCCGCTTACTCAACAATTCTGCTCTTGCCAAGATTTTTTCCATTCTATATTCGTCAAAGAGGTCCGTAATTGACTTTACTCTCGCGTGAATCGAAGGCCTCGCCAACAAATTTGGATCCAAAGTGTCCTCACTACGCTTACTCGTACTCAAATCTGTTGAATCATATTTTTCTGTCCAGTCTTCGTCATCGGAACTATTCAACATCTGGGTATATTCTATCGTCTTTTCTTTTGATTTTCTTCTTGAGACATCACGGTATAGTACACCCATCCGTGGTTCTCGTCCCTTATCTACTACTGTAGTCTTATCACCGGAAGAGACTTTCTTTATCCTATTCGTCACACTTTTTCTAGTCAAGGATGATGGATCCAAACTCACAGATCGTCGAGAATATGTGTTTTCGACGCATTTGGGTTCTGGATAGTAGTTTTCCACAATATCCGTTGTCGAGTACAAGCTTATGTCAAATTGTATGGGTTTATCATTCTCACTCTCTTCCTTTCTACCTCTTCGTTTTTTTTCGTTATCGATAACAGTAGTAACAGTCCCTTTCAAATGCGATCCTTTTCGCTTATCAGCAGCAATCGTCACGGTCCCTTTCGAATTCTTGGACTTGTTTCTCGTTTGCTGGATCGAGTGTAATGGGGCAGGGGTCCCAACTCTCCCTCGGTCGCGTACAGTTGGTCTCTTCGTTTCAGCATCTTCCCTTAACATCTCTCTATCACTTGATTTCCTGGTGGCTTTACGCCTCTCCCTTCGACTTCGATCGATTTCGGAAGCCGACCGATCGAATCGTGTTCTGCTATTGCTCAGAGTCCGCCTCCGTTCGCTCTTCGTCGAACCATCCAAGCTTCTTTTTGACTCTGATCTCTTTCGTCGTATGGACATAACTTCCTCCCGACTCAATGATACACCACTTCCAAGAGATCTCGACGATGAATTCACGCCATTTGCCTGGCTACAGAGACTACTTGAACTCAGTCCACCACGACTCGGTCTACTGTTGCCTCCCGAAGAATGTCCTATTGTCTGTAGATCATCGGTTCTGTTACTATCGCTTTTCTTTTCCAGATATGCCTTGAGGGATTTTAGGACGTTCTTCTTTTTTGGTTCGGATATGGATTTATGTGAAAGTTGAGATTGCATGGCATCTGTGGTCACTGATGCTTGTAACGATGCCGACGCCGAGGCGGACGAAGACAAGGGTCGCTCCCGGCTAGAATTTTTTTTGGTTTTTCGACCTGGACTGCAGCTTCGACAAAGACCACCACAACGACTACCACTGCGGCTACCACTGCGACTCCTGCTGCGGTCGATGCGAATTTTCATTTTCTTGAACAGATTCTTGGTAGTACTTGTATTGTCATTTTCCTCGACCGCAATTTCTTCCTTGCCCCTATGGCGAACCATTCGAGAAACTTCTTCTTTGACATCAACGAGCGACGCCTTTGATTTGACCCATGTTGTCTGTCTCGACTGCTTGTCCGATTCGGATAATGGGAGCATTACCCAAGCCTCGTTACCTTCCCTCATGACAAGTTTTGGTCAAGCAATTTTCTGTTTCCTTCAATCTCATGTCGGGTATGTGGAGTTATACATCTGAACCAATGCGCCTTGAGGATTGTCGCACGTCATCAATTGCTGTCACTTTCCTTGTGAATTCAAAAGCATAAGTTGTACAACAACCACGATATTGCTTACCGTCGTTGTTTACGTCAGGTTTAACTACCATGTGATAAGATTCCGTATTACAGAAATGTCGTTTGACTGTTAGTCCATGATGATTACTATTGGTTTGTTCACTGCTATTGAGCTACACACCTGTTTTTGGGCACTAATAAGCTTGTTTTTGTTTTCTTCCGATATTTAAAATTTGTTCAGTGTTTACGCTTACAATTTCGATCCCATTCAAAAAATTGGGCGATATTCTAAACAGGAGGGATTTATTTTGTCGTTGATCGATGGAGTTTCCTAATTAACTTAAATTTAAAAAAGGTAAGAAATCAAAGTTTTCTAGTACTGTATTGATCGTGAGAAAATTCTTCGAATACCAGCAAGGCCATTTGACTTTCCATTGGGCACAGAAATAATAAAAAATCATCACCTGCAACAGAAATTTCCTTTAATTGCCCGAGCGATGAGTATTCTTCTTGAGACTGTCTACCTTCGTGAAACGAAGAAAAAGATCGCATACGATATTTTTTTTTGCTTTTTGTGATATCAGTGATGTATCAATGTATTTTTAGTACTCATACTTTATCACGCACTGCTTGTTATCATGCAACGATAATCGCATCAGTGATCATTCTATCAATACGATGTTCAGTATTGCCTCTTTCAAATTCTATCCCCGATTGACTTTACAGGTACAAGAAGCACTGTTGGAGACAGTAAAAAATCGACGTCTTGACCAGCCTTCTTTCTGTTTCGTACTCGACGACCCACCTCTCATTTAAAGTATGTCTACGGTTAGCTCTGGACACGTTGATCCCAGAAAACCTTTAGGTCACATCTACTGTTATCATGCAGTACTAATAATAAAACCGATCAGAAAAATTCAGTGTACCTGATTTGCATTACACAGGCAGGGGCGTCAGCTACCGGGTTACAACAAGTATTCTTCATCATACTACCAGAAAGTCCTTCTCTTTTCAACTCTCAATCCTGTGGTTGCACTAATACTATTCTACTTCTACTCTATTTTGGTTCGTGTCTGTAGTCCTTGGCATGGTAGCATTTGCCCGCTTCTCTAATTCAAATCGCACCACTGCGATTGCTTTAGAAGTGGCCCTTCGATGTTTCCATGACCCAAAAAGTAGTTTTTCCTGTCCTCGTTTTTACCATGAAAAAAATTGCAAGTCATGTCTCCCTCCCACATGCCTACGATACTGTACATGGCATATTAGGTAGTACTGCACGACAGATTTTGCAGTCCCCTAAATTGAATCTACCGTACAGCTAGCACACTCTCATCAAAAGTGATTGTCACTGATACCATCCCCACGAAACGAGCTGCATTCTCTACTATGCATGATTCGAACCACCCCCTGCGGAAGATAGCATTGTTGACCAAGGAAAAGGTGTGTTGTTGCTGTTGGTGTTGTTCGAGTGATATTTCCAATCATCCGCCTCTAGTACTTTGGCTAGTCCCCTCAGCTGATCCAAATTTTCTGCTAACAACGCCTTGCGATTACCCTCGGAACATCGCTTGTGGTCTTGTTCATCGAAGAGCTGTTCGAGTCGCGCTTGCGAATTTGCCGCGGACTGATGCGATTGCAAGTGGCGGCGATGATGGTGATTTTGCCTGTGGTTGCCGCTGTTGCTGTTTCCCTCTGTCGATGCATGCGCTGCAGACATGTGGCGGTGGGCTGTCGGTGCCGGCATGATTCGTGAAATGATAGTTTCGATGATGAGGTAGATAGGAGACGCTATTACAATAATGATCACCCGTTTGTTCTGAGTTTGATAGAAAGAATGAGAGTAAGGGTACGTACGTACATACTGATACGAAACGTAGGGGATGGTGTTACTGCTACTGTACGGTACGTACGGTACCGTAACGGAGACTGTTGTTTGTAGGGTAGTTTGTGTTTGCTGTTTGCCCTGTTTGAAAAAAATGACAAATTTTAATTTGAATAGTTTCCCCAAAACCTCATGCCAGCTCGCGCAAGGCTTATCTCCCCGTGAAGAATGCACCCCTCGAAGAAGGCACGGTCGCTAGGAATTGATTCGACTCGATCGAGTCAATCACCTTGGTTAGAAAAGCAAGTCGTTTCTTTGAAATAGTGGGATTGAGCTCATAACCTGTAAAATAGTGGAATGCTCTCTAGTACAATAAAGAGTGAGGTTATTCACTAGCTACTCGTGATTGTACTGTCTCACAGTTTCTAATCATTTCGATCGCCTTCCGACGATGTGATGGAGGAGGAAGGAAGGGTTTAACAGAAAGAGATCAGCGGTGAATGCGACAGAAAATAAAAAATGGTCTCAACTTGTTTTCTAATTTTTTGAGTTGCCACCACGATCTTCCATCAAGACGCCATTCACCAATTGCTGCTAGCTCAAGAATACCGTCACTAGAGATTGATAATACCATTTATATTATAGTTCACGATGACCAGCTCTGAAAACAAAACACCGACCGACGCGAAGAACGCAAATGCAAACGAATCTTCAGCTCCATCAGCTGGAGCGACCAAGCAGCAAGAAGCCCAAGAAGCTATCGAAGAAGACGACGAGTTCGAAGAATTCCAGGGCGCCAACTGGGGCACTGGCGAAGAAGATGCGGAGGACACGCAGCAGTGGCAAGACAATTGGGACGTTGATGACATGGATGACGATTTTACGAAGAATCTACGGAATGAATTAATGGCCAACAAGTAATTATTGTAAACATCAAAAATGCCACGAGTTGGAATATAGTCGAAGGGATCAAAGAGTGAATCGGATTATTCCACTGGCACAACGTTGCTGAAAAGCTAGTGTGGCAACATATAAAAGAGTTGGGGCAATCATTTCTGGTAGACTAGCACTAGTATTTCATTACGTGCTATTTCTGTTGCTCTGACTTATCGACGTCAWGAGAAAAAATCTGAGTTGGTTGGAAATTCCAATGAGGTGCAAGAATAGAAACTCGAATCACTACACAATCACAATCAAATCGAAACTTACTCAAAAAGTAGTAAAGAGTCCTTGTTGTAGTAGCAGTAGATATGCATGATGGCTTTGGCGTTTGCTAGATGAGCGATAGTAACCGATAATTTTCATCCTGGAAGCTCTACACCAGAACATTGTATTGCGGGTGGTCTTAGTAACAGCACAACTGCTCGCACAAGGTACTCTGCATGCAGGATTCAGACGGATCCCTAGATGATCGAAAGAATATGAATCCTATCTGTTTCTGTTGATTCAATATTAGCATTGGAAGATCAGCAAATGAAAGACCTGGTGTTCCTCCTGATCTAGTACTGCTTCTTCTCAGCCCCTTTAAGGAGCTTCTGATAGATTGTTCTTGTCCTCATTGTGTACAGGATTATTATAGAAGGGATCCTCTTAGACTTTGTATTGTATCCGTTCTTTTGGATATATTCCTTCTCTCATAAGGTTCACGAATTGAAATTCTCTGGACACAAAATCTTATAAGAACCAATAGTAGTAGTAGTACAGCAGATTATAACTAGAATTATCTGGAGCAAGGATGCATCAGCAACAAGAATGCATGATCAACAATCTGGTGGTGTGAACAAAACACCTGCTGGCAATCTTTTGCCCTCCAGCACCTCAAGGACTCAACTGTCTTGASCATGACAGTTATTGTCAAAGCAATAGTATATTGGATGTTGTTTGATTAGTGCATTGAACCAATGCTGAATAGTAGTAGGAGTGCAGCAAGACACTGTTACTACTAGTAGTACAATAGTACACATGAAACCTGCAGTTGTCAAATAAGTGTTTGCTGGTCCCTTGACTACTACCACCATCTCAAGTTTATACTATTACTAACACATCATGTTCAACTATTGAACAGCTTGGTTTGGTTTGGTTTGGGAGAATTAACTGATTTCCTTGTTTTACAAATTACAAAAACTCATTTCCTTGCATGGTTTTGTTTTTAGTCAATTGTAAACTCATTTCCTTGCATTTTGCAACATTCCCTAAGTAGTAATCAAAATTCTGCCATAAAAAAAGGGAAAAACCAATGCTAACACCACCAAACAGTCATACTAAATTCAACAAAGGAACAACAAAAAAGACTGCCATGGTAGGAGGTGGACACTGAGGAGGACAAAGACATTGAATATTGATAGTAGAGATGCTGCTATGGATGCTGCTATGGAACCCTTCTACTGGTATGATGCCAAATGCTGATACAATATGGAACGTTGATACAGAACTCTGATATGGAACACTGATATGGAAGAACGCTGATACAAGACGAGTTGCTCCATGATACTGCAAAACTGATGCGCAACCCTGATGCGCAACCCTGATGTGGAAGAACACTGATGCACAAAGCTGATGCAGAACACTGATGTGGAGGACACTGATGTGGAGGACACTGGTGTGGAGGACACTGATTCATTGGAGCAACTGCTGATACARATGACGCTTTACTAGTATACAGAGGACGCTTTATATGGAGCCAGGTTGCTGATACAATTTGGTGCTGATATGATACAGAGGACGCTGTTACTACACCAGAGTGAGGATGCTACTTATATGGAGGACACTGATATGACTTGCTGATACTACAAGAATACAGAGGGGATATAAAACACTAGTACCAATATCTTCTCTCCTAGTATTTTGTTAATGCTTTTATTATTATTTCTACTATTGTAAGGAGCGCCATGGTCAGCGCTTGTCTTGTGTTTCAACACTGTATTATTGCGCATTAGTATGGTAGTTTCCTGTTGTTTAACGTCAAACTCCTAATTGATGCCTTGGTTTTTCCGTTGTTTAAGGGCAGAATTTTGATTACTTAGGGAATGCAAGGAAATGAGGAGTTTACAAATTACAAAATTGCAAAATGCAAGGAAATGAGTTTAAAATTAACTAAAAACGAAACCATGCAAGGAAACGAGTATAATTTGTGAAATTTCGAAATTCAGGATGTTGAAGCATTTCACCAGAAATCGTGCATGTTCCGCTAAAATAGAAATGTCAGAAGAGAACGACTGTCCATACTTTAGCGGTACGGACAATTTGATACGATTTCAGTCAAGATACCTCTGTACAATAACTTCATGCTATTGAGGTGACTGCAGCATCAGAACTTTCATCAGAAAGACAAAAGAGCGCCGAGTCTTCCCGCCAACACCAGTGTCAGTCTCGGATAGAATAAGAGAGAGAGAGAAATTGGAACAAACATGATCATGGTGAAACCGCGACGGCGACTAGAAAGAGTTTTCATTCATGTTCCAGCATTGCTATCGCTCTTATCCTTCTCATTACCGTTGGTATGCGGGTTTGCACTGACAACGATGACAATGACGACGAAAGGAATGAATAATCTTTCTTCCGTTGAGGACTTCCTTCTTCGTTCTCGACTTGAAGGGATAAAGAAAGGTATCAAGAAGGACTACGCAAACTCCCCGGGAGTAAAACTTCTCTCGGGGGAGGTCGATGAGAAGTCAACAATGCCGACATTTATTTTTCCAGGTGCTGGTGGGCTAGATGAATTGGTTTTGGAACTCCAAGCAACCATTCCAAACTCGGAAGTAATCGACTGGAAGGAATACCGAGGGACGCTCCTAACCGCAGGTTACGATAGCGAGGCGGTGGGCGAGGCTATCGCCGAACTAGTTCTAGAACAAATTGGTGGCGATGGCGAAGAAATCAATAACGGTGGCTACGAGAACGAGGAACTGGAATCTCCATCGATTTCCTCGGATTCATGTTCTGGCGTTCGATTCGTTGGAATATCAGTTGGTGGTTTTGCTGCGAATGCAGCTGCAACTATTGTTCATCGACAAATAACTGAAAGATCCCAGCCAAAGAATGTGGAGAAAAATAAAGAAAACGACATTTTGAACGTCCATTTGGTTTTGCTTGACCCATTCTGTGGCCGTGGCGTCTTCGGACAGAACTACGGGAGAAACAATTTTGGAAAGTACGCCACATCGGCTATTCAAATCCTTAACACAGACGATCCGGTCCCAACGACAAACGACCCCTTATCCAATTGCTACTGCCTCGATGTGACGGAGGCTCCTGAGAAACAAGATTTTGTAGTGCTTCCGGGAGACTCGATGCATTCCTGGCCTGTTGCCTATTTTGCACGCTATTATTACAAGAAATGCCAGGACCCAAGTTTAACTCCGATGTTGTTTCCTCGGGGCGTGGTAGAAGAAGTATCGTGATGAAATAGCTAATGTATGCCTAGATTTGTTTCTACAAGTCTTACTTTTTTTCTCAATGCATAACATTCAATAGAGATATAGTCTATAATTCATTCTAATTTTACGCCTAGAGGAGTTTGGAGATGACTAACCCTTAGGCTCCYCACAAGTCGAGAAGCATTTCTATAGTACAAATGTCCTGAACCTTGCTATCAGACTACATCGGACCTCGCCATGCCGTTCTAGTATCATAGTTGCTATCGTTCGAACATGGTACTGGCACTTACCGTAGGAAGAAAGATTATTTTGAGCTCGAAAAGCAATGAACATGTTTGAATTGATGCCAAAACCGTCTCGACCCAAACTTGCAGCAACAAATTTTGCACCGGCAGCCTTATTCATCATAATGTTGCGAACAATTTTTTTAATTGTGCACTCGATCTTTTCAATGGGATAATCAATATTTTACAATCGTTTCTGAGAGACAACGTATCCGGGATAAGCAGATCCATACTTCTCGTAGTTTTTTGAACTAGGAAGCAGGTTTTCTCCACTGAGGCTACTATATTCCGCAGCATACCAGAATAGGCTTGTCTAGACTACGTTCATAACGCAATCAAATTGTTGTTGGATACAGGGAATCGCCTAACCAACTCTCTTTGAAGACATCAAAATTCTCGCGTACCACAATGTAATGGATATTATTCCTTGAGTTCCAACGTCGTTCGACATGATCTATTTCATCGCTGACCAGATGGATGGACCGCCGGTTCTCTATTACTGTATCCTCCACCAATCCATTGAAGTCACCATGAATCAAGGCTTCCTCAGCCATCTTGAATAACCCAACGAAAGAGTATGCAACTGTCGTCTTTTGCTTCGCACGATGATACACTCCTAGTTCTCCATCACGCTTTCCCCCTTGTTCAGGGCACCGATAGTTCTTGAGTTAGTTTTGTGTCCTAGTACCTAATACATAGTTCTAACCATGGATGACTCCTGTTTCTTAAGGTCAGTCACTCCAATCATCCATCAAACGAGCACGAGTTGTTTGTATTCGAAACACAACTTATGCACGGACTGTTGTTGAATTGTTGAAACTTGATAAAAGAAGATTTTAAACAGTTACTCCATCTAACGCCCCTAACGGATATGCATGGCGCGCTACCTTATTACCTTAACTGATGAAAGCAACGAACCCAATGAACAAATCAACAAAATGCATCAAAAAAGATCTTTGAACCCTGAACCACCTGAATCCAAACCAATCCAAACCAACGCTTCCGAAAAAAAAATCACACGGTACGATACGTACGTTAATAATTTTACGTACTCGTGCCCATCAAAATCACTTTCGGCACCGTCAGCATCGAAGAGCCGTATGGTAGGTAGAGCACTATCTGTTCACTTCAGTCCAAGAGACCAAAAAACTTTAATGATACAATCGGTATTCGACTACAAACCTTGATCAAACGATACTCTGAAGGCTAATTTTAATACTGATAAATTTACCACGATGCACTAAACAACGATGGAAAACCTAAACCGGAATGCATCTTTTACTCGTGAATCATTCGGTTCACACAGTGTCAAAGTCTTGTCGATGGACTTGAGTGGAAAAGACAGAGACAAAGAAACAGTTCCGGTCCGAATGTTTGAAGACCAACACATCATTCCAAAATTGGAGCAGCGTCGGAAAAAAGGATCTTTGCGTCGACTGAAACCGTTTGACTCTGAAAAAGATGAAAGGCCAAGTGAGTGTGATGCCATTGACTTTTCGTCTAACGACTATCTCGGCTTGGCACAAAGCACGCAACAGCAACATAAAGTGGAGGAACTCTATACAACCCTTCCTTCTCGCTACCTGGGATCGACAGGAAGTCGTCTTTTAACGGGAGACAGTGAATTTGCTCAAAATTTAGAGAAACGACTGGCAAAGTGGCACAAACGACCATCGGCAATGCTTTGCAACAGTGGATACGACGCAAACTTGTCTGTGATGTCTTGTCTTTCGTTGAATTCGACTGTAATCATGGACGAACTCTGTCACAATAGCATTCAAATGGGACTGCGGCTAAGCAAGGGCTACAGCCTTCGAAAATTCGAGCACAGTAGTCTACGAGACTTGAAAAGAATACTGAACGAAGAACACAAGAACGTCGATCAACCGGGAAAACCTGCCATCATTGTCGTCGAGAGCGTGTACAGCATGGACGGCGATGCGGCACCACTGAAAGACATTCTTGACATGGCATTGTCGTACAATGCATGCGTCATTGTGGACGAGGCGCATGGACTAGGTGTTCTGGGAGAGAATGGGCTTGGATTGCTTGAAGAACACGGATTAGAAAACCATCCATCCCTGCTGTGCTCTGTACACACCTTTGGAAAGGCAGCTGGCTGYCATGGTGCTGTCGTTTGCGGCTCATTGAACCTCAAGACGTTTTTGTTGAACTATGGTCGCCCGATAGTGTATTCGACCTCCCTCCCACTGCATTCCCTCGCGTCGATCGCCTGTTCGTACGAAAGCATGACAGGACCGGCGGGGAGGCGCTTGCGTCGGGACATGCGAGACCGGGCTCGTCTCTTTCGCGACCTATTTGCCGAAAAAATTTTGAAGCAGGGAATTCGCCACACACCCGGAGATTTGGTACCGATCGGACTCGTTCCCTCGGCGTCACCCATCAATGCCCTGATCATTCCCGGCAACAGCCGTTGTTTAGAATTCTGTGACAACTTGTGGATCAAGTCAAACAGATCCATTCGGCTGTATCCAATCCGTTCCCCGACGGTTCCCAAAGGACAAGAACGAGTCCGAATCATATTGCATGCGCACAACACGGAGGAAGAAATCGTTTACCTGATTGATCTTATCAAATCAACGCTTTGCGACATGGGAATAATGAAACACCATGCAACGGGTAAAGTTTCTCCTCCCCAACGTCCCAAAAGGATACATCGCCCAAACATAATGTCAAAATTGTAGATACAAACTGCGGGAAAAATCTGTGGTTTGCTAGGTCGGATTGTTGCCTGAAACATACTGCGTAGAACCTCTTCGTTAAAGGAACAAAGACCCCCTAGGGTGGCACACTCCAATCCCTTTCGTTTGGTCGAGACTCTGGTAATGCCGTTGTTCCGCCGCCTAAAAGGSACTCTCGACTGCAGTAGGGGTTGCAAAAAATAATAAATAAATATGAAATAATAAAACTCGGAAAGTACCGTAGTTTGTTTCAAAAAAGGTTTGCTAAATAATTTCAGAATACAAATTTTACTTTTCAAGATTAATATAATATGCAAGTCATTGGCTGGCTTTGTGTTGCGTGCGAAATTCGGTTTGCCGGAGAGCGTCGATAAACGAACCAAATAGTACATCTTTGTGCTCCCTTTCTAAGCAATTACGCAGCCCGAGTCCCCACTTGCGCAAGGCAAGAAGTCGAGTGGGCCGGATTCGTCGACTTCGACGCCCTTCTCGGACATGAATTGGTCGAGTGGTTGGCCTTCTCTCTTGCGATATTGAACCCACAAATCGTGCGAAATTTCCAGGATCGGTCGAGCCGAGCCAGAAGCCTTGCTGATTTGGTCGGCGGCAGCCCGTGCACTTGCCTTTGCTTCGGGAGAAGTTCCGGAGATATCAGCGTACGTCAAAAGCATCTGGCTGACTTCGCCGCATGCCTTGTCGCTTTGGACAGACTTGCGCGGAGGATCTCCGGCTTGAAGAATAGCGGGAAGCATGGCTTCGATGGCAGTAACGGCGTGTTCGGCAGACATGGCATCGGGAACGTATTTCGAGCCACCTTCGGTATCGTCCATCGCCGAGAGAACGAGGTCGGAGACGATCTGGAAGTTGAGTGCAACGGCCGAAGGAACGGCGAGAACCTTGGTGTTGGCTTCGCCTCCGGCTTCCGAGTCGGCCTTTCCGGCGGCCTTCGAGAGATCGGCGTAGGCCTTGGTGGCCGTGTAGAGCTTGAAGACACCGTAGGCGTATTGTCCGTCCTTGCCCTTCTTTTCGACAATGTTGGTCATGAGCTCGGAAACGGCCTTGGCGGCAGGGTTTCCGCTCTCTGGGAAGTCGGTCCAGGCGGCATCGAGGAAGGCACAGGCCATGGTGGCCTTGAGTCCCTGAAGATCTCCCTCGGCCATGATGGACTTGATGACATCAACGGCACCGGCACTGATGAGAGACTCGCGCGATTGAGGCCACTGTGCGAGGTTGAGAATGACAAAGAGAGAGAAATCCTCGAGGGAGTTGGACGTCCAGCGGGATGGAGGGGCGGTGGCGGCGCGGATGTTCTCCACGACGCACTTGGGAATCTCGGTCWGTCCGATCAGAGCAGCGTTTTCTTCGCTCTTTGCGAGATTCTTGATGAGACCGCAGGCCCATCGAACTCCCTCGGACTTGCCGCTGCTGGCCTTGGGGGCGGCAGGGGAGTTGGTGAGGAGCTTTTCCAAGACACGGAGAAGGGAGTTTGGGTTTTCGAGGGGTGGAATTTCCTTGCCATCGGCACTGGGAGAGTGTTGGAGGATGGTTGTGATGCTGGCCTCAAGGAACGAAAGGTTCATCAAGCAGATGCAGCAGAGGTAGGATTCTTGCTTGTCTTCGGCAATGACCTTGCACAATCCCCCAATGACGTCCTTGGAAGCGGGTCCGAGTGCCATGACGCGCTTGTTCTCCGTTGGGATGGAGAGGTTGTTGAGGGCGAGGCAGGCAAGGTGGCGTCCGTCTCCGCTCTCTTGGGTCAGGCACTGTGCCAGGGGAGTAAGGACGTCGTACTTTCCGCTGCAGACCATAGGGACACGGTTTTGCTTGTGGCCGACGTCGCACAACTCGTAGACGCGCTTCGTAGCGGCGGCGCTCTTCTCGCCCTTGGCGTTGAGCATGGTGTCGATGAGGTCGGGAATGTCATCGAGGGTGGGTGGCTTGGCGGGAGCATTCTTGGAAGGCTTTTCTTCCTTGGGGGTGGGGGCCTTGCCAGACTTTTCCTTCCCCTCTTCCTTGTTCTTTTTGCGGCGGAATGAAACCCTAGATTATGCATCGTACACGTGACGTAAATTCATACAGAGGCGAGCCAGTGCCGTGTGACACACATGCACAGCGAGCGAACAAATCAGAAAACATTACAAATATCAATATCAATACACCGAGAACAATCGCAACGGCATCAACAAAACAATTCCAATGGCAACGAAACACAAACAAGAGATTAGATCGCGTCGAGTTGAGTTCGACTGGAGCAACGCCCCGCAACCATGTGTCTTGCGTTGCGGCCCCCGGCGAGACCGCCCGGGAGCGTGACGCAAAAGATCCGCACCCTTTTGAAGACAGGACACGACACGCCGTGCGAACACCCTTTTGCTTCTGGTTTCGCTGGATCCTTCCTTTCCGGCATCGTCTACGACAGGAAACACCGCGGTATATTTAGTCTTACATTTTGGTAGTTGAGTTTGTTTTTTTGGGTGGTTGTTGGATGAAACAAATATAACTAACTTGCTCGAATGAAGGCTTCGCAGAAAACTTTTGTAAAAGACTTGTTTCGACGGTCGGAGAAAAAATAGTACAGTACAATACAGTAGCAGAACGGTGCGCAAAGAGGTTCTGTTCCAAATAGAGTCGTTAAAAGCGAGGCTCTACCCGTGCAAAGTCAGTCGTCACATTGCTAAAATTTTACTACGATTCAGTATTGGCATGCTCATCCGATTCATATATTAATTTATATACCCGAATACTTCCAATGCTCACCCGAGTATCCGAGCCTCGCTAAAGCGCCCGCGCCATTATGACGCTTTAGGTATGAACGTATGGTTTGTTGGAACGGCTTCGGCATACAGTAGTATTAGGAGGGTTTCTCCCACGGTACGGTGCGTACGCTGCACGCTACGATACGGCACGTATGTATTGTACCGGTAACATCTTTGCTGTTTGTCAAAGCCGAAACGAGGAGAAGGACCCAAGCGGAGTGTATCCGTGGATTCAATACTGTAATTAGAGTTAAGGTTCCTATCGATATCGATGCGCATCCAGCTACGGCACCCGAAATCAAGTCAGACACTGTTCTGATGTCGACTTTTTTATTTCTTGGGATGCTGCGAGAAATGTCTTCTGAAACGGTTTGGGCGAAACAGCGCAAAACGACAGCGTCCACACGTAAGATATCTAAGATATCTTCGTAGCGTGGAACAAATCCAAGCCGGTGTGCGAAGAACTAGGTTTACCGCAGACTCTCGAGCACACTGATGTGTGGATGAACATCCGTCACACTTCAAAACCAGATTCCTTTCCTGCCTTTCTTCTTTTCTTCTGTCTTTGCTGTCCTTTCGTTGAGTGGATTGTACCTACCGGTAGGAAGACCCCGACAAAACGGAGTTCCTTTTCCGGGAACGAAGAATAAATACAGCACGGTAGTAGTACTTTACTGTACCATCGAGAAGTCTCCATCGCAGTTGCGTGTTATTGCTTTTCTGCCGCACGGAACGTACCGTTACGGACATCGCAATCGGATCGCAGGCCCCGTTAGTCTTGTAAGTTTCCAAAGCCATTGCCATCGAACGAGCAGAACAGAGCACATTCCATTCCACCACGAGGAGGTGCAGCGCATTGGACGGACACCGAAGGGAACCGCACGGTGCATCGAATCACATCGCACACTGCGTTGTAGTTGTTGGTCTAGTACCGTAGTGCAGTGGCCGAGGAGAGAACACAACATCACACCCGGTGCGCCAGGGCAGCGAGCTAAGAAACACGCGACAAAGAGAATGGCCGACCCCAACCGCCACGGCGCGGGAGACGACAACAAGCGGGTGGCATCCGTGGGATACAGCGCGGACGAGAGAAAGCACAGGGCCCTCGCCGGGCAGTGGCAAACCCCGCCCACCCCCGCCTATGCCACCGGGCCGCCGCAACAGCAGCCACCGCAGCAGCCACCGCAACCGCAACAGGCGGCGCAGATCGCGAGGAGCCCCAGCCACGACGGCCCCCTGCCGGTGTCCACCCCGGAGGAGTACGCGCAGGCCCTGCAGGAAGCCTACGAGGCGGGCGCCCGGATGGCCCAGAAGCAGCAACAGCAACACCAGCAGCAGCAGCAGCAGCAGCAACAACACATGCCCACCGCCGCCTCGTGCCCCGATTTTTCGTCGACGGGCTCGAAGCAGCAGCAACAGCACCCGGCAGCGGGGAGCGGTTCCGTTTCCGAGCGGGCCACCGCGCCGCCGGTCCCGGCCTTTCGGATGGACCACCAGATCCATCCCCCCGCCCAGCTCCCGAGGAACCCGTCCGGAAGCATCCCGGACCCCCTCAGCTCCTCGATGCCCCCGCCCCCCCCTCCGCAGGCAACGGCGTCGTACGCGCCAATGGCGCCCGGGGGGGAGCCGCAGCAACCGCTCCAGCCACAGCCACAGCAGCACCAGGCCTACCTGCAGCCCCACCAGGGCGGCCCGCAGGACCCGTACGCCGTCGGAGGCCAGCCACAGCACGCCCTTGCGCATGCGCACACGCGTGCCCATCCGCATGCCCATCCAAACCAGGGGGTTCCCCCCCACCCGCTGCCGGCGACGTCTTCCGGCGTCTGCTATCCGCCGCCGGCCAAGCCCAAGGCACCGGAGGCCCGCCCGCAGCAACAGCCACAACAGCAGCAGCAGCAACAGCAACCCGGCCGTTCCATGAGCATGCCGGACATGTCGACCTACGCCGCCGAGGCGGAAGAGGAAAAGCGGCTGAAGCGCCTCGCACGCAACCGGGCGTCGGCGCGCCTCCGCCGCCTCCGGAAAAAGAACCTGGTGAGTTTTTCCACAAACAGTCGGGAGAGGCCATCACATCCGTCCCTCGAACTCCAAACGCGAACGGGTTCACTTTTTTGCGACGGAGGCGTCTCACGGTTTTGTTTCGTTGTTTGTTTTGGTTTGGTTTGGTTTGGCTGTTTCGGGAAACCCTTTCGAACCCTTCCTCCGCCCGATTCGATTCAACTCGATTCGATTCGATTCGATTCGATTCGATTCGAACCTTCTTTTAGGTGGACGCCTACGAAACCGAGGTGGGCATCCTCGAGAAAACGCTGGGGGAGCTCCAGGCCCACGAGTGGGGGAGGGACACGGACGACCACAAGCCCCTGCTGGACGCCCTCGGGATGGAACGCGGCCAGCAGCCCATCAGCCCGGAGGAACGCACCGAGATCATAAGGGACATTCTCGAGCAGCAGATGCAGCAGGTCGCCCTCCTGCGAGAGGCGCAGCGGGAACAGGAAATCCTGGCGCTGCTGGCGGTTGGGAAAGGGGGGGACGGGACCGAGGAAGACGAGATGGTCCGGGAGCTCCGGGAGATCCTGCAGCTCTCGGACGACCAGGAGAAACGCCTGGAGGAATCGACCAAGGGCCTGGACAAGGAGGCCGAGGCCCTCGAGACGGTCGCCGCCTCCCTGCGGGTGATCCAGAAGAACGACTGGCTGCTGAACGAGGGGGTCCAGAAGATCACGGACCAGTTTACCTCGATCCTCCACAAGAACCAGCAGTCCAAGCTGCTCCTGTGGACCGACGCCAACGCGGAGGCCGTCGACCAGCTCGACCACGTCGAGGTACAGCCCCTGCAGAGCGCACCGGTCTTCTCCTTCGGGGTGGAGTCCACCGCGCCCGGCGAGGACGAGTAGGGGAACGGCGAGTTTCCACCGGAGAAACACCCGTCAGTGCGGGCTGGATTCCGTGCCGGGCACCCGCCTGCCCGCATCCGCTTGCGGCCGGTGCCGCGGGAAAGGGGAGACCGGCCGGATCACTACTAGAACACCACCATAGAGCCAAAACGATACAAACGCATACACACTACTATATCCAAACCATACACACGCACACACACAGTTCATAAAATTGCGCGAGACCGGGCGCTTGCGCAAGGATTCAATCGAAACTACAACAACGCGTCGAATTCTAGGCGAATTTCTAGCGCCGGCAACCCTCTGTCATCGTAGCAATCCTTTTGCACCACAAAACCAGTCGGACAGTTTCCCTTCGAACACCGTTCCTTGGGTGGTCAAATGCGTGCTGAGCAGTCCCTGTACCAGGTACCAGGATCCGACGATACTCTCCAATGGCATGCCGTGCACTGGGGAATGTATTGCTAAGTGATTGGTCCGCATTCGTTTAATTGTTGTGGTGTTTACTACAATATTACATACACCACTAGAAATGCACTGGAGAATACAGTACGCAATGCCGGGTCTTTCATTCCCGTAATACCATTGAATTTTATGTAGACCTCATCTGTACAGTACAAACTTGTAGTACAGTGCTATACTTCCTATCGAAAACACAGCAACCGGACTAGTCGACCTTGAGGGCTCCGTAGATGCTCCTGATGAACAAAAAGCTGCAGAGGACACCGACGGAACCGCAGAACAGACCGAAGCAGAGAGAGATCATCCCCATGTACGTGACGTAGACCACAACCGGAAGGATTCCGACAAAATCCAGCCGGCTCACCAAGAACCACAAACTGTACAAAAACAGATAGCAACCAGCACTGGCACAGTTGAAGAACGACTTCCACCACCAGTGGTAGTCTTCGGCACAGAGCTGCAGATAGGTCATCACGACGGAGACCTGTGCGCAGGTGGCTCCGAGAATCAGAAGCACCGCAAGCAAAAAGCCCATCATGTAGTACACTTGGTGGAGCCAGAGAGCACTCATGATGAAAAAGAGTTCGATGCAGACGGAACCAAAGGGCAGGACCCCTCCTAGCATATAGCTCATAGGGGGATTTGCGTACCAGGGAGGCTGGGGGATGTACCGTGCGATGGAGTTGACCTTTACGGGAACGGGCATCTTTTCGGCTCTGAAACCAAAGTAGCTGCCCACGAAGACCATCGGCGTCGCGATTGCAATCCAAAGTCCCAAAATAGCCAAAAGCGTAAAGAAATGGATGGCCGTAGCCGCGCCGGCAACGTGAAGGAAGACGTTGAGGACGGTGAAAATGCCAATGAGAACTCCGGGCAATCCAGCGGCCGTGAGAAAGGTGTTCTGCTTCCAGGCCTTGGCGTCGCAATACTTGAACACACGAGCCGAAATATAGCCGGCCACGGCTCCAGAGGACACATACAGCAAAACGATGGCGGTCAGCATCTGGCCCTTCTTCATTGGGCTGATCAATCCAACGATGGAGAACATCATGGTGAGGAAGCAAGCGAATCCGATTTGTGCACCGGTGCCCACCAGAATGCTGAAAAGCATAGGGCAGGAAGCCGGGGGCCGGAAGACGTCGCCATGGACCAATTTCCATCCGGTTTCTTCCCCAGATTCTTCGAATTGTTGCATTTGGTTGTATCCAGCGATATCTCGTCGCAGAGTTCGGATCATAATGGCGGCGATTGCTCCCGTCAAGAAAAGGACGATCATAAGGGAGTTGATAATGGCAAACGAGTGAATATCGTCGTCCGGGCTTCCGATGAGGTAAATATCCCACCTGTCGGTCCAGGGAAGAGTCGATTCTTTCCATTCTACTTCGTAAGAATAAATGACGGGGAGAAAACCTTCGGCACCGGCCTTCTTGTCAAGAGCCAGGTACGTTTCCAGATCGTTCTTGACGGGAGGTGCATCGTCGGTATTGCAAGTAGAAACTTCCTGGGACATGGCAACGAAGGAGTCCTCCTGCTGAATTTCGTGCCGGATACTGACAGGGTCCACATCGAATCCTGTAATGTGCAATTCGCCGGTGTCCATCTGCTGGTAGGTGATGGTAAATTTCAAGTGATTGTAGAGATAAAACTGTTCCACCTTCAATCCTGTGTAGCTTGGAGGAGCCTTGAAACCAACGGGAAAGCCTCGAATCGCATAGTTGTGATTTTCGCTTCTCATGAGGACCGGAAGACCATCAAAGGTCATGTGAACTCTGTACTGGCGTTCGATCAACTGTCTCAAAAATCCGACCCTCCTGGGGGTGATCATCTTCTGGCACAAGGGAGTGCAGCCATAGTCCTCCTTTACCTTCATGGTGTATGGAGCGGGCTTGAGCTCCAAGCCCTGCAAACGGGCGCCGAGGTTCTTGCGCTCTCTTCTCCTGCGAGAGACGGTCATTTTGGGCATGGCACAGCCGGGCAGCTTGTAAAAATCGTAGGGAACCTGGGTCTTCCTGCTGTTTACGTTGTCCGTGTACATCAGGACTTCTTCACCAGCAATGTATGGTTCCGGGGTCGCTCCCGGAAAGAGGATGGACGCCAGGTCCGTCTTGCGCTTTCCAAAGACCCCCCTCCTCATCTTCTTTCGCAGCTGGTACTGTCTCATTGCGGCTGCCTCCGGTGTGTGTCCGACTTCGTCCTGGCCCGACGCACGGAGTTCTGCGTAACGTTCCGCTTCCTTCTGCCTCAGAGCCATTCTCTCTTTGCGGCTCATTCTCTTGGCATGGAACCTAGCTCCGTCGATCGGATCCGTCGATCCCTCGGACGTAGCAATCAATCCAAGCAAGAGGCACAGGAAAAGAACGCAGCTACGGCGGCATGGTACGGAAGAAAGAGCATTCATTGTCCCGGTTGATCTATGGTACGCGGTGTTGGCCATARACGGATTCCAGAAAACTTGTTTGCCTGGGGTGGGAGTTGTTGGAGAAGACAGCAGGAATCGTGACAAGTTTTTGCATTGCTGCGTCCTTGCGTTTCGGATMTCTGGAGAACTGCTTTTGCTCGATCTATCTCGTTAGAGATCGAGTACGAGTACGAGTACTCGTWACATCTTACTCGTTTTACTCGTACCGTACGGTTCTCAGCTCGCATGACTGCCAGCTCGTACAGTCAGTACTATGCTATGATCACCGTTCCGAAGCGACAGTTTTTCAGTCATACCGTGGTCACAAATTCTTTTACCAACAAGGTACGAGGTACTTTACGTATCGCACCTTAGAACTTCGTAGGGTGGAGTACGTGTGTGAGCCTAAATCACGGAGAGCAGAGATAATCGAATTTTCAGTTTTAAGTCAGCATATAATGCATATATATAGTATGTACAAAAGATAAGATAACAGGTACTCAACAAATATTTACTGTAAAATATTTACGCTACGGGAGACTTTGCTCTGTTCGTAACGTAAATAGAGTCAGGGACGTTCGGTATCGACAATTTTACCACGCCAGCCATGCTACCAGGCAATACTGTGGTAGTGGGAATGGAAGCTTGCTGGCGCCCTAAAGAGAGTATTCAGTCATGAGCAATATCGTGTCCAACGGACTGGAAGTTGGGGAAGGGCGGGGTTGAGGGAAATCGAATATTAAGGATTTTTTTTATGGTAGGAAAGATATCCTACCAGAAGTGGACAAAAAATGCTACCAGATTGCAGCAAAAAACGTTACCATATGGTAGCATTTTTAGTCGCAATCTGGTAGCATTTTTTGTCCACTTCTGGTAGGATATCTTTCCTCGATACAATTTTTAATTGAAATTCTTTTCATGGGACCACTCCCAAAAAAACGGTACTGAAGAGAGTTCTGCTACTACGCACTACGTAGCACTACTACGTAGAGAACAAGGTCCCCAAGCAAAATCATAAAATAGCTTGCTTGTTGTTGCTTGTCGACCATGGTATTTTCCCTCATTTAAGCACTTGTTGTTCTAATCCTCGAAACGTAGTATAATCAACACTACAAGTCTCATTACACTATATGTCGACTCATAGGTTGTTTCCTGGTCAAAATCCATGTACCAGAACCTCAGTTTTGTTGTGATTAGTACTGGACTGCTCCTTGTTGTTGTTGGACTCCGTGCCGCCACCACCCCCACTGGCCATGGTGCTAACGAAAGAAGACTTTGACTTACTAGCAAAGGAAGTTCTTTGTTGGCCAGAGCGTAGGATATGGAACAATGAGAAAGAGATGAGATTCAAATCATGCTTTGGAGCTTCAGCTGAACAAGTTGCAGACTTGTGGAAAAAAATTGTTGCTCGAGGACCAGTTGCTGCTGGGGGAAAGGCGAAGCATTTGCTTTGGGCACTTGTTTTCCTCAAGGTCTATTCTACTGTTGAGATTCACTGCTCTATTGTTGGATGGCCTTCTCCAAAGACCTTTCGAAAGTGGTCTTGGTACTTTGTCGAGAGGATTGCAGAGCTGAAGAATGACCTGATTAGTCTCGACAATAGATTTGATGGTTATAGAGGGACAATTCAAACTGATTGCTTCGTAAGTGTGGATGGAACAGACTGTCCTGTATTTGAGCCTCATCCTTGGTCAAAAGAGATGTATTCCCACAAATTCAATGGACCAGCACTCAAGTATGAAGTAGCTGTTTGCTTGAAGACCGGATGGATTGTTTGGATCAATGGCCCCTTTGTCGGAAGTACTAATGATTCCACGATATTCGTTGAAGGATTAGGAAGACACTTACATGCTGAAGAAGCTGTCGAAGTTGATAGTGGCTATGCAAAAGATGCAAGACTCAAGCTTCCTGGGATGGGACTGACCAGTGAAAAAAGGAAGATGAAATCAAATGCCAGGGCCCAGCAGGAAGCCATCAATGGAAGATTGAAACAATTCAACGTGCTTACTGCTCATTTTAGACACATGAAACCAAACAAGGCGACAATGATGCAACAGCATAAGCTGTGTTTCCACGCTGTTGCTGTTATTACACAGCTCAAAATCAAATCAGGGGGGCGTGTCTTTGCAGATGGATTAGATTACAGTGTAAATTATTTCTAGTCACCACCAGCATTCTTCTAGCAGCAGACCGATGGGCAAGAAACAACAACAGCACAGCGTTGGTCTCCGGCAAGTGAGCTGGATTCACAGGGTAGTTGCAACAGACTGGAGCAATCACCTAGAGCAAGGCTTGCTGGCGAGTCAACTCCTTCTGGGCCTATCAAAATTCAATCATACTGGAGAGGCTTGGATTCCAGTCCCTCCGCGGATACTAATCTTATCACTAGTAGCTAGTAGTAGTATTCCTACTGGCCTATTCCTTCTGTAATGAAAGCTGTTCTAGT